TCCGAGAGCGACCCCAACGATGAGGTCACCAAAGTTCAGGAGAGCGAGAGCTCCAGCTCAAGTTCCTCGTCATCCGAGCCGAAAAAGAAGTCGAAAAAGAAGAGCAAGAAGAGCTCTTCTTCCAGTGCCCCGAAGGCAAGCAAAGACCCGAAGAAAGCGAAAGAGGATGAGGATGCAAAGAAGAAGAAAAAGAAGACGAAAAGGTCTTCCTCGGAGCCGAAGAAATCCAAGAAGGCCAAGCGCAATGCAAAGTCCCCTTCCCCATCCTTACCGGCATCCAGCAGCCAGCCCGTCCCTCCACATCCTCGAGCAAAAAGGCGAAGAAGGCCTCGAAGAAGGAATCCAAAAAGGAGAAGAAGGAGGAGCCGAAGAAAGAGAAAAAGGATAAGAAAGAGAAGAAAGAGGGGAACGCCGTTCGCGAGGCGCTGGAGGCCAAGTTCACGCAGTGGCGGCAGTCGGATGTCCAATCGGCTTTGGCAGCCATCGAGGAGGTGCTCTCGGAGATTGGAGAGCAGCCCGCTGCGGAGAGCACCTTTCCTGCAGCTCGCCTGCAGGTTCTGATTGCCTTGCTGCCCGAGAACCTGCGTCCAGAAGAAGGTGGACCCGGAGAGGAGGCCCTGTCTGGCACTGATGCCAAGAATTTCGTGCATCGCTTGCGCCGCACCGCAAAGGCTGCTGATGATTTCTACCGTGGCCAGCAAGCCGCGGGAGCCGCTTCCGCGTCCTAGTGACCGAGTCTGATTTGTCGTTTGTGGGCAGTCTGGCGCTGCCGACTTTGAATCATACCCGGCAGCTGACTGCTTTCTTGAAGTTCAGGCAATGCATCATTTCCATGTGCTTGTGTGCAGTCGTTGGGGACAGAACAGCCCTGACCGCAGACATGCACCAGGGTATGGCGGCAGAACAAAGGTCTCCGTGTTGCATGGTAGCCTTAAGACAGTAGAGATCAGTCCGTGACATGTGGACCGGAGGCACGAACTGCTAGAAACTGCTTTTGCCTGTGCGCCGCAGATTCTCCAGTTTTCGTTGATAGTGTTATCTCCGATAAGTACCATGCCACGCCTGTGCTGTGGCCACGATGGGGAGCGCTGTGTCTTCTCGACAAGGCGCGCCAGGCAGCGGGCGGCGGCAAACAGCCGCGCAGGTGGCTGTCGCCTTTGTGACCTGGAGCTTCTCGAGGGAGCCCTCGGCAAACCGGCCTCGAAGGGGCACTTGCTGCAGCAGCTGCGGGCGCTCCGTGCTCTGGACCAGGACGTCTTTGATTTGGCTCTGGCTCGCATTGGTGAAGTGTCCCCGCACGTGGAGGAGATCGAGCGCCTGGCAGGGGCACCCCAGCTGTCCGTCGAAGATCAATGGCGAGCTTGCTTGAAGAAGCGCAAGCGCCTCAGAGCTTCTCCGCCGCGCGAGGAGCGCCGCAGTTTTCTCAAAAGGGTGGAGAAAGACCGCACCCGCGTGCGCCTCAAGTTCTTCCCCGAGAAGCACCGTCGAATCCCGCACTCAGGCCATCTCTGGCGACATCGCCTGACGCAAAGTCTCCAAGCACATGTGCGCGACGCGGCTTCCAATGACACCAGCCTGCCTGCCGCCCACCTGACCAACAATGCCGCCATGGTGGAGAAGTGGTGCAAGTGGGGTTCCTGGACTATCTGCTCTATCTGCCATTCCGTGCAGCCTCGGCACATGAAGAACATCGACGCGCGCCGACTTGCGGGTCCTCATCACGCATTGCGTGACTGCAGAGCCTGCAAAGCCGCCGGCGGGCGCAACAGCGGTGTCGCCACCGTTGCCGCGGTTCCTGAGGTGCTCCGCAAGCTCAATGCCCGCATCGTGCAGGCCCTGCGACCTCTGGACGTGGACTGCGGGCCGGTGCAAAGAGCTCCCCAAGGTTACCGCATACACACCAGCATGATCCGCTTCAGCTGGTCTGGCGACTCCGTCAGCGACAAGATCCGGGCATTGCAGCGCGACGCAGAGAGAAAGAAGGCCCTGGAAGCGTACGATTTTCTCGTGCAACACGAGGGCTCTGCGTACGGCACCTTCGTGAGGCGGCGCCAGGACTTCCTCCAGCGCCACCCAAACCCGACGGCCGCAGTGCTTCGGCGGCCACTTCAATTCATCGAGGAGCTCGGTTTGGAGTGCGCTCTGTGGCCCGACCTCTACACCGACCTTGTGGCTTGTGAAACCTATGAAAGAGCTACAGACATGCGGCGACAGCAGCGCAACATTGACGAAGCCGAGTCTGAGGATTCGTCGCAGCCCGTTGGGCGACACAGCCTCAAGAGGAGCTTCCTGCTCAAGGTGCTGGGGCCCGTCTTGGAGTATGCTGCAGATTACGAGCTCCTGCAGTTTGTGTTTGACCTCTCGGTCTGGTCCGACCTCGGTGGCAAGCGGAATGTGCGCCAGGACGTGCCGATGCGCATCCTCCTCAAGGGATGTCCCTTCGTGCCGTCTTACTGGGCTGTTCGTCACGCAGCTCTTCTCGACCTTCAACGCCAGGGCCTGCGGCCGCTGGTCTTCAAGACGTGGGCACCGTACGAGTGGCGCTGGCCTCAGTTGCGTTTTGCGAGTGCTTTGTATGCTTGTAGTCTGGCATCTCCTCTGACTCACCCACTCGCCTAGGAGTGCTCCGTATCATGGCTGGCTCCTGCACCACATGCGCCACATGCACCGTCACCGTCAGCACTTGGCGGGCCCCGAGACGCTGCATCTTGCCCATCTGCTGACGGAGCTCTGTCGGGAGTGGGCAGCCGGAGGCGCGAAGAAACATGGCGCGGCCAGCGCCCGCTGGACGGACGGACAGCTGCTGTCTGGGACGGCCGCAGATGGCACGCCGGGCAGCCAGAACTTCTGCTTCCGTTTGGAGTATCAAGACGGCAAGCGCAAAGAGGCCACCCAGCAGTGGCCGGGAAGCCGTTCATCTGCACGCCATCTTCTTTGGCACAGACGCCGAGTGCTTGAACCTGGAGAGGACCATGAAGGCCGAAGTGCCTCCGCGCGACCACCCTCTTCGGGGCTACGTCCTCGACGGGCAGGCGAGTCGGACCGGAAGCGGCTTGGAGGTGCGCGAGGAGCCATCCGTCTTCGACAAGGCCGCAGGCACCGTGCGGCTGCGCCACAAGGCGCGCGACGAGGCCATGGGCATTCGGGCCTACCAGGAGGCAGAGGTGGAGGTCCTCAAGTGCCACGTCGACAACCTCTTCCCGCGCACGGGAGCGGATGGGCGCGGGCTCCTCATGCGCTACGTCGCCACCTATGCGCCCAAATTCAGCGACAGCTTTGCGACGGAGTGGCTTGCGGACGAGGGGAGCACCGGCTACGGCATGGCCCTCCGCATTCTGTCCTGCTACCACCCTGGCGAACCTGAAATGTGGCTCACCCTGGCCACGCAGATGCTTCCGCCTTTCGGCACGGGAGGCACGGTGCGGCCGCTGGTGGCCCCTTGGCCCGACATGCCGCGGAAGCCAGACTGCGTGGCCCTGTATGAGAGCTCGCCGTGGCGCGGGGACGACATGAGCCTTTTGGAGTTTCTCCGGAAGTCCAATAGAACGGGCGACATCGTGCAGTGGGTCAAGAAGGCGCACGCGCGGTCTGGCACGCTGGAATCCCTGGAGGTCTTCGCGCGCAACTGCCCCATGGCCGGCGAGAAAATCATCGCTGCGGAGCTGGTCTCGCCCTTTTCGGACAAGTTCTTTGGGCAGTGGCTAATGCTCAACAGGCCGTTTCGCAAGGCGGAGGATCTGCTGCTTCCGGAGATCTTAGAGAAGGTGCCGGACCGCTACAAGTTCTTCGCCTGCGCGCGAGCTCTTTGCCCCGAGTACTGGCAGGACGAGCAGCTCATCCGCGAGGACCTTTTGCTTGCAGCTCGAGGGGACGTCTACATCGAGAACGTGCTGTCCATGCTGCGAGCCCAAGCAAGCCTGGTGGACCGCTACCTCAGCGGGGCCATCACCCTCGAAGAGGAGGCGCAGGCCCAGCAAGCCCGGCCTGCAGCTGCCAGGGGCCACGCGGAGCGCATAGATACTGGGCTCTTCACTCCGCTGCAGACTACGCTCCATCAGCAGGTGATGACCAAAGTCGATCTCGTGTTGCAGCTGCGAGCCGCCGAGACGGAGGAGGAGGTGGAAACGCTCATGAACGACTTTGAGAGCAACGGCAGGATCCTCGCCGGCCTTGGCCCGCCCGGTACCGGCAAGACGGTCGTGGCCCATCAGTGTATCGAAGAGGCAGTGGTGAAGGGGGCGAGAGTGCTTTACGCACTGCCCACCGGGCAGCTGGCAGCTCGGATGCGCGTCCGTCATCCCGAAATCCAGGTGGACACGTGCCACGGTGCTTTCTGGCTGCACCGTCCTCGCGCTGAAGCCGTCGCTGCCCTGACCGAGTACGACTTTGTGGTCGTTGACGAGGTTTTCCAGTTGACCTGCGAGCACTTTGACCGCATCTGGGAGATGTTCACTGCCGCCGGGCGCGCCGTCTGCCTGCTGTTGCTCGGGGACCCGTGACGGGGAGGCGCCCGACTCGCACTGGGCCTGGAAGGACGTGCTCAAGATCAAGTTCCACGAAGTCAAGCGGTGCAAGTGCCCGGTGCTTGCCCGCAAGCAGGCGGCCATCCGCACCCACAAGCCTATGGGGCAAGCCGGCAAGCAGCTCGTGGCCCTGCTCTGCCGCGAACACAAGGCCTGGACTGGGCACCACGAGCCCACGGACATGGACGTCGCCAGCGTCCTGCACCGCACCAATGGTGAGACGACCTTCGTCACGTGCACTCGCCGCGGGGCGGCCTTGTTGAATGCGCTGGCTGCAGAGGTGCTCTTCGAGCGGAATGGTCAGCGACCGTTGGGGCAGGTCCCGATCGAGTACGACGAGAACCCTGACAACTATGACGTCCAGGGCAAGCTCATCGAGACCCGCGCCCCGCTTGCCGCCCAGCTCGTCCTCTACCGTGGCGCGCGCGTGGTTCTTACACGCAATCTCAACAAGCCGGAGCATTTCGTGAACGGCATGGTCGCCACGATCGAGGACTTCGACGCAAGGGCCGGCTGCATCGTGGTTCGCACCGTCACCAACCGCCGCCTGAGCATCCACCGGTACACCGATGACGCAGTCCCCCACGGCCGCTGCATCTACTACCCAGTTCGCCTCGGCTACGCTGGGACGGTGTACAAGTACCAGGGGGCAACACTTCCTCATGTGACGCTGTGGCTCGATCGCCCAGGGTGTCCCGCTGCCGCCTACGTCGCTCTGACCCGGGTGGAGAGGGACGAGGATTACCTGATCGGCGGCATCGTTGAGACCAGGCACATTTTGCCGGCTCGTTGAAGAGCTTGGCGTAGTTTTTGAAGTCTCACCGACGGGCTTCTGCAGCCGGATGAAGCGCCTGCTGGAAAAAAGAGGGCTCCGGGGCTCCACACTTTGGAACACGTGTGTGCCACATGTTTCACGAATCTGCTGCAGGGGCAGCCGCCGGGCCTTCTTGGCTCTCAGTGGCAAGAATCTTCGTATGTAAGCATTCCTGTTTTTTACTTCACGTAGGCATGCGGGTTATGAATCATTGGCAGCCCTACCGAGCTCCTGTGGCCGTGCTAATCAGTAGCCTTGACCATGAGATCTGGCGGCCGACATGAATGGCCGCCCACCGCTCCGCAGCAGGATGTGCACCGGCTCATCATGCGACTCGCATGCAAGAGTTTCGACCGCAGGTATCTATCTGTATGGTATCTTGGTTTTCAGGAACACTTCGAACAGGTAATTCGGAGAAGGGGAAAATTGATGTCAGACTTTGCTGCCAGGGGCAGCTCTGCAGTTGGAAGTTGGGAGTGGTGTTTGGGGCCC